GCTCTCTGACCTTTAACCAAGAGTCTTCCCAGAGAGTTTTTGGGCCCATAACAGAAAGCATCATAGTATGACACAAGAGTTATTATGAACCCTGAACCCATTATGCAGCATATGCATAGTTGAATAATCTAAACACAGTCCTACAAGCAAACAAAAAATCAGCACAGAAGGCCAACTCAAACCTCCAGGAAGATGCATAAAACAAGCCCCTGAGGGCTGTCTGATCCCTCACACCTCTGAGCAGCACTATGTCTGACCACTCCTAGAAAAAAAGAGCATTTAGCACTCCTGTTGGATACACTATAGCACTGTGGGGAACCCATTTCCAAGCCCCTGTTAGCTCACCATTCTGCTTTGTTACCCAGTACCCTGAGCTTGATGTGATTTGAAGACAGAAGAATGAATAAGAATCTAGATAAATGAAGAGTTAGTGATAGAGTCAAATGTTAAACACAAAATCTTTACACTTACCTCCTCAACAAGCCTGTGAAGAAGATTAAAACACTCCAGATTTTTCCTAGCCTATTCTTATTCATGGAAGAAGGAATTCTTACGAGTTTTGTGACTGGTCAGAGAACAAATAAGAATAGGGTACACCTGCCATGGCTTTCCAAGAACATGGCAAACCTTTGAGTGAATAGTGTGTTTTGGAGAACTGAAATGATTCAGATTTGACTAATAATTTTGACCAGAAATGACTCGCAAATATCTGAAGGAAAATCAAAGCATTTAATTTTATATATCTATATTAGGAGTTGCCAGAATTTAATAAAAATCTCCCAAAGGTAATACTTTGCTCTTTGTTCTCTATTTGTTAAATACAAAAAATAAATGTGTGGTCAACATATGGAGAAGGGGAAAAAAAATCCTAGTGACTGTCCATTACTTAATCTTTCAAGACCACAAGTCCTACTATTGACTTAGAACAACCATTCAGCTCATCACAGCAAGAAATTTCACAGCTATCAACTTACTTGACAAAAGATTCCCCTTACTCTCTATGTGGCTTCCTGGAATACCAAATACAGTCAGGTGATGCTGTGCTTCTCCACACACAGCAGCTCACAAACAACTAACAAGCAGTGTAGAGATGGGGCCACCACCTGCACTAGGGTTTTTCACTCTTCTAAGTGAGCTGAGAGCATCGGAGACTTTCACCTACAGTAAGCACTAATACGTTCACATTTTTGAGTAACTAGACTTATTCTTTCCTCCAGAGAGAAAATGACATGCTCCATGATCTACTCAATGCTTCAAAACAATCACGTCACAGAATTAAGTCCTTTGCTTGCAATCCTGTTGCTGTTTCTATAATAGACTCAAAGGCTCCTTATGTACTGAAGGCAGAGGTACAAAGCATCTTCCTTTCTTCAGTCCATCTACAGTGACCTGAATGGTACTTCCCTCTCCAGAGGGAATGACAAGTATTGTCAGTGGAATCAATGGAGTAACTGTGGGACAAGGCTGAGTAAGAGATCCCCCCTCTCATTCAAACAGACCCCACATCGTTGCTCCCTGACTCCCTGATGACCAGGGCTTTCATTCTCCTCTGCAGCACATCTCAGGGGCTCATTTTCCCCAGCAGAAGGAGTAAGCAAAAATGCCAATAGATCAAAACAGTTCTGCATGTTATCAACTGCAAAGACAGGGGAAATTCAGGACAACCTCAGCTGTAATAAAAGAGGAACAATAGTGATATGAATATCTTTGCCTCTTATATGATAGCATGAATCTGCTAGGCAATAAGCTGAAAATATGAGAGCCCCCAAACTTGAATCTCTTCCAAGAAAACTATTTTTAGTGGAATATGTTTAGCTTGTTAAAGATTTAAACCCAGGAAATAATTGCAGTTACTCTCCTGCCTGATTGAAGTAGGCAACATTTATTAACATACAGCAACTAAATAAATTATTCCAATGTAAGCCTCAAAAACTTAAAGTGATGAGGGAACAGGATAATATCCTGACTAAAAAAAGTCAACCCTGTGCCTGTGGTCTAAGTAAGATCTGTTCCATGATAAACAGTATATTGAGACAGACTGGAGGAAAGAGAGCTGCAAGAAGTTATGAAAGGAAATTTGATTTGTCCCTCTGAAGGGAAAGTGGTAACTGACTAATCTGAGCAAACTCTGTCACAGATTTTATAGACCTAGTTATTTCTTGCAGGTCTCCAACCAGCAGATGGCTTAGATTAAGTCCATGCAAGAGCTGAATTCAGACTGGCAAAGAGATTCATCAGTGACCAAACCCATGATCCATGTTGTTATTCTGTGTTCACACTTACACATTAAATCAGAGTTCAGTATCCTGCATATCTACTCTTTAAATTGTCCTAATTGAGCAGCAAAGTCCACTTGCTCTGTTTTGCAAGTGTACAAGCTCTTTGGCATGAGATGGGTATAACCACCCTGTGTGCTGAGGGTGAAGATAGGTTGCTTTTGATGACAATATTCAGAACACTGGGAATACCCAGTCATTTTTGCTCCATTATTTTATGCTGAAGAAAACAAGCCTACAAATAGATCTACCTGCTTCAGCAATTTGTGCAAAACACCTCATTAAACAGCAGCACTTTTTTTTCCTAAAGAAGCCTGCTTCATATCCAGTGGGTAAAAGGATAAATGGCTATAATCTTTGAATACACAAGACTACACAGAGTGGGTATTTCATAGCTGCACAAAGCCCATAATTGAACTTCTGCCCTGGGGATAAATTTTCCTGCAGTGTAAGTGCTTCCAGTTGCCATACGGGGGTCATGTTCTTTGTCAGGAAAGCAGAACTTCACATCCAGTTAATTGTTGTTCCAAGCTGTCTTTTTTTTATTGTTGTTGTTGGGTTTTTTCCACTGAGGCTAGTTTTCCAACAGTCATTCAAGCAAATGTGCTCATTTCCCAGTTCCCCCGCAATTCCCCACCACAGTGTAACAAAGTGCAGATTTTGCATGGCTACATTCCAGGCTTCGTGGTGTTAAAATCATAGCAGCAATGGAAAAGCATGTAGCTGCAGTAGTCATAAGGTAGGACTTGAGCTACAGGTGACTCAGTGGTAGTCAAACAGATGCTGTATGAAAATAGATTGGTTTCTGTGTATAGACTGGTTAACCCATGGAGTTAGTACTTACACATGACGATTTCCATGGTTTGCTAAGCAGCAAAAACTACTCAGTCTGAAGTAAATTGGTGACCTCAATTCTGTTCACTGTGTCTGCGTGTCCATCTCAGAACACAGTGACCATGAACAGCAAGTTCCTTCTGCCTTAATTACTTAAGGCTTCATCTTTGGTGTCAATCAATCAAACATAAAAAGATAAAGACCATGTCCATCCAGTATTTGGATCTCTTCAGCTTAGTGGTGAAACATCCACTGCTTTGGGATGGATCAACAGGGGCTGAGAGAGGAAAGCTTAGGCCATAGTCTGCTGCAGAACAAATTGAAAAAATTGCAAGGAAGTCAGTGGATATTATAAAAGGACAACACAACTCCTTTATTTTCCTCAAAGGATTAATGATAAATCCTTTCATGTGCATTTGCAATGTAAATCCCCTGTTATCAGGCACTAGCTACCACCTATTTGGGTTACCAAATCCGTTGGCTGAAGAACTTGGGGGAGTTAACAGTTCAGGCTGCTAAGAAACTGACCAATAAACACTCAAGACCAAAGTCTTGGGAAGGATTTTACACTGACTTGCTCAATTTGACCAATAATTGCTCTGGAAGAGGCAGTTTCAGTCCACAGTACTTGTGCTTTCTGGACTGCTCACCAATGCAGATATAGTCCTACCTAAATAACCTTTACCACTCTCTCTTCCCTCAGAAAACAACCCACCTGCTTTAGTTCACAAAGATCCCTTGATTCTTGTGATAAAAAGACATTTGACTTTTACAGCAACCCACTCCTAATCTCTTTGGTGTCTGTTCCCTGGATTTCCCCAGCAGGGAAACCCACACTGTTCTGTGGGCTTCCTGGTAAAAGTTGTCACTGCCTGGCAAATCTATGCTGTAAACTTAAAGGTCTGGAGCTGGATATTTAGAGCTCAGTCAGCACCTGGGCCATATTTTCCCCAGAAAGTTTTATTAAATTTGTGGACGATCTGAAAACTACTTTTTAAAAATCATTAGTTGGTAATCAAAAAACAAAGGTGAAATACATAATCATCAAAACACTTCTCATGTGAACATGATTCTCCTCAGCTTCTGTCAGACCAGCAAGCAAATAGGCTGTGCCAAGCCGCCTTCTCTTTGGGGGTTTGTGCCAAGATTTGGACCTTCTGATTTGCTAGCACAGAAAACACCCACTCACATTCCCCCTTGCAAGAAGAGGTCAAGGAAAACCACTTGCTGCCCTGTGAGCTTTCAGGAAATATTGCTGAGCAGCATGTGCCCATGCCCCTTTCTGTGCTGAAACTTCACCAGACAGTTTTTTTACTCTTGTTGCTGCAATTAACCTTCAGAGAACATTATTAACTACAATCTTATGCATATGAAGAATTAATCCAGATTATTAGAAATTATGTTCTTACTGCAACTCTACAGCTGTTTCTCCTCCTTAGATGAAATCCTGACCCCAGCCCCACAGCCTGGTAATGCTTGTTCACTTAAAATTAAAGGAAAATTATCTCTAACACGTACAGAGGTGACCACATTTTCTTCCTTAAGTGGGGTACTGGAAATTAAAAAGTCCTCTCCTCACCCAGTGCTGCTCCTGAAAAATCCTGCAGAAAATCAGGCACAATACCTGTAAAGTGGACAAATAGGCTAAACACTAAAAAAAAAAAAAAAACAGAAAAAAAAAAGAAGCAGGATCAGCATCATCTCTGACACTCTGACATGAGAGCATGATAGACTTGGATGAGGAGTTTGGGCCAGGGAAAAGGGGGGGGGGGGGGGGGATCAGCCTCTCTGGGGATCTGTGCTTGGCTCCTCTTTGTACAGTGCCTGCCCTCCAAGTATGAACTCCCACCCAGCCCCACTGCCCCCCAGTCAGTAGTATTTCATACTCACCATGTCATAAACATTCAGAATCACTGGTTCATTTGCCATTGTTGATTGCAGTGGAGGCTGGATTAAAACCTTTCAGTCCCTGCCAGATGTGTGTTGCTGCCCCCAGGGTATGCTTTTACCCTCAGCCAGATAGAAGAAAATGCCTCATCCTACAGTCGCTGAAGGAAGGAGGAAAGGAGAGAATTCTCACGGTTGGGTGTGTGTGTGTAAAGTTGGTTGCAGGGAGGCAGGAAGGCCTGGATTTGGTTTGCTGGTTGTATAGGGTTTATTTCAGCCCTCCACGCCGTGACAGATCCAAGGTTTCTTTTTAACTCTGTAGTGCACCTCGGGGTCTGTAGACTCATACACCACTGTAACCAGGCACCGTCCGAGCTCTTAAATCCCGATCCACAGAAGACAGATTCTGAGCCCAAATACAAGCCCTCTTCTGGCGCCGTGAGCAAGCTGGGTAGCAGTGCGTGCGGGGAGATTTCTCGGCAGAGCCGAGTGCCGCTACCGCAGGGGGCTGCCAGCAGCACGCAGGAACCCGGGCCAGCAAGGCAGGGAGCGGGGCTGGAGCGGACGCCGAGCTCCCGAGCTCCCTCCCGCCGGCGGAGCCCGGAGACACTGTGGGATCTGTCCGCGGTGCTGGGGCCGGTCCGCCCGGAGCCGGGATCTGCCCGCGGTGCTGGGGCCGGTCCGCCCGGAGCCGGGATCTGCCCGCGGTGCTGGGGCCGGTCCCGCTCAGGCACTCGCTTGAGGGCTCTCCGCCGCTGGCAGGACATGGTGAAGAGGCTGTGCCAAAGGGACTCCAGCGCGGGGCTCGGCGGTGGGAGGAAGAGGAGGAGGGGGCTGGTTGCCCCCGGGGCAGAGAGGGGATGCCGCAACCCCCATCCTGCCCACGACGTGCAGGCAGACCTTGCGTCGGCGCCGAAGTTAGAAGGCAGTTCTTCGCGGGAGATGAGGCGGGATTAACCGGACTGGGGCTGGAGGGAGGAAGATGCCGAGCAGACGATGCTTCCAGGCAGGGTACGGGGCCAGGGCTGGACACTCCGGCTCTCTGTGCTCTGCTCTCCGCAGGGCCAGTCCTTATTTCGCGACCAGCTCGTCCCGAACAGAGCAGCTCCTACTGACTGACAGCCGAGGGAACCCACCCCGTCCCCTGCTGGCTGGATGCATCCCTGCATGGCACACGGGGGGAGGGCGGGGAAGGGACCAAGCGACTGGGCAGGGCGAGTAGTTTCACTTCTGGCAGCAGCAGGGTCTGGAGTTTCTTCCTGGAGCTACTTTACACTCATGTTAGGACCGTGAAGCTCTGCAATGTCTTGCCAGCAAACATTCCCCTCTGAACTGGATGCGAGAATCAATTATAAAATGCACTGCGGTAAATTCGTCTTCCTTTTGCTCCTCCTCTCTCTTTAAAGGGAGAGCAGAGTCTGTGATGGTGCCGGAAAAGAGAGCAGCTGGGAGAGAAACCAAGGATTTCCTGCTCCCAGAGATTTGCAGTGGTGTGGAAATTAGCACTCTGACCTTAAACGTTCATACACAACAGATTTCTGAAGCAGGAGGGAAAAAAAAAAAGCAGGGATGACCTCATCTGAGGTGGAGGCGTATCTGAGGCTGAGGCTCTCTGCCAGCTCACAGCCAACCAGATCTGAATGAAAATTGCAGGGAGCCTGTTACATCAGCAAAGCCCAGCATGCCTCAGCCCCGTCTTCAGCCACATGGGAACCATCCCGTCCGGAGAAGGGCTCACCTCCCTTGTCAGGAGCAGAAAGACAAGACCATAGAGCTGCAGCCTTGTACAAGACTTGTTAACCAGTGTGCAGGAGAATTTCTAGTGAAGGCAGGCAGTAGGAAAAGGAAGTGAGTCCATGTCCAGCATAGCTAAGTGCCAACACAAAGTCAGACAATTTTTTTCCTCCAGACACTGCCAAAGGAGATCCATAACTGCTTTGCCCTAGGTATGCATTCTGAAAGTGCGAAGCCACAGTTCAGGCTTAGGCATGATGACATGCAGCATGTCAGGGACCCCAGCACAGTAATTTCATCTGGACTAGTCATTCCACGGGTGAGCTGGACAACCTCACACACATGGTACAGGGACTTGACCAGCACCCTGACTTCCCCCCTTCCCTAGCTCTCCAACCCACCAATTCTAACTGTGCCATTAACCATCAATCTGAGCAACCTGCATCTGAAGGAGCAGCTTGTGCAGGTGGGTAAAGGTGCTTCCTCCTCCTTACCATCTCAGAGTCTAGATACTCCTCAGAGGATAGACTGAGCCCCCACTGTCATTTTAAAGGCTATGGAGCAATGGAGATCTTGCTCTGCAAAAAGCTAAGCTGCATGGTTCATGCCCTAGCTTGTGAGACAAACCGCCTACTGAAACCCAGAGGCTCCTGCTAAACTGTCACAGATACCCCCAGACTGTCACTTTGGGACATGTGTCCTGCTCTAGAGATGGTAATGTTTTAAGGAGACTTGAAAGGAGAGGGAATAGCAGACTGATGTAACTAGAAAAGAAAAGCAGCACTACAAGGTCTTCCCACACTTACCCACATGCTTATTTGCTAAATTAACTCCAATGACTGCTATGCTCAGAGTTCACTAAAATCAATTAGAGACTTAAATCAGATACACATTCCAGAGACAGGCATCTACAAATACTTAGGATTTGGGAAAGGTGACAGGCAGCCACAAGCTTCAATGTTTTGTCCCACAAACATTTCAAAATTCATCACCTAGGGGGGAAAAAAAGATTACTAGAATTCCACTTCTAAACTTTAGAGCTAGAAGAAGGGGGGAATTAAAACCAAAACATGTCTTTAAAACAATCATATTGCTTCAAGAGATCAAAGCCAGCCTAAATGTGCATTTGTTATTTAAAGGACTTCTGCTGTAGGAGAGACAGTAAATGTCACTTGCTCATTAAGACATTTCAAGTTAGAGGGAGAGAATCCACAACGATGAGAACTACATTACAAATGTCATTGCTCTCCCTTTTTGCTGCCCCTTCACAGAAAGTTGTTCCACATTGTGTCTTAGCCTCATCAGTGTTTCAGAGATCCTATGAAATTTCCTTTTTTTATGCCATTCTACTCCAGACAACTTATTACAGCTCCAGATAGAAGGGATCAGTCTGAATTCAAAGATCTCATTAATATGAGTTGTTTTACAGTCATATAAACTCTTCACAAGGCTTGGTTTGCTTTGGGCTGTGTTGAAATGTTTCATCAACAGCTCAGGCTGATGCCAGTTGAGAAAGTGAACTGTTCTATTTCAGGAGCATGAGTATAATCCCACAGATAGCCTTGCTGCCTATAGGCACCAGAGCCCATATCTTGTGTTGTAAAAACATTACAAGATAAATGAATTGCAAATACAGAGAAAGGTCAATTCTTCTCACTACTCGTTAGAGCAGCTGGAACTAAAGCCTTGGGTTGTGTTTTGAATTCTTCTTTTAAGCACTTACGGTGGTTTTAGGACAAAGCAGACACACTTTTTCCATACATACACCTAAAGCTAGACAGCACCTTCATTCACATTTAAGCAGCCTGTTGCAAGCCCAACATTCTTAGCACTCCTTTTAAAGGGATTCACGTATTTGAGTTCATCTGAGATCATCCCCACTTACTATTATGGTATGAGTGCATCCACAAGGATCGGTGTCTAGAGGAGACAAGGTAAAAAGGTGAAGAGAGTTAAAAGGAAATTAGTGCTGCTACCCAGCATGGACTAAAAAAACAAGAATTAGGTACAACCTTAAGGAATTATCTGGTACATTAGGCAAGGCAGTCAAGTCAGTAGCTGAGAACTTCAGCCACCTCCTCCAGGTAGCAGTCACAAAAGTGGCATTGCTGGGCACTGTAAACAGAGCTGAGACATTCCACTGCAGACAAGAACAAAAGAACAGCAGTGCAACAGAGAAATAATGGCTGCATTAGAGGTGATGGTCTATCTGTAAGTTTGTCTGCTTGCATTGCTATTCAGGAATTCTAGTTAAAATTAACATTTTTCCTTAATCTACCCTCATGGACTTTCAAAGGCTCAGAAGCAACTCAGCAGACAATGGGGCTTTTAAGTATATTTCACAGCAGGGCTGCCCAGTTTAAACCTCAAGACACTTAATGATCTTCTCTTGACATCAGGTACACCACCCCAGCTGTCCATTATATTTTTTGACAGCTTGTAATGTTGAATTTACAAAGTGCTTCTACACATGTCAAATTGTCATTATAATCCTGTTCTGAGTACATTAGCAAGACTATCCTCCTTAAAGAAAATATAAAATGGCTGTTGAAAAACTAGAGACAGTATTTTTTCAGATCCTTGAAAGTGGTGGAAGGTATGGAAGAATGAAAAGGGAGTTGCAATTCCTGCCTTCCATCTACAGGAATAAATCATCACCTGGACAGGTGCTGGAGCTTTGTAACTTTATTCTGGGTGTATGAGAAGAGGTATTTTGATTAAGGAGTTTAATCTCACTTCTAACTGAGGCACTTGCATATACCAAGGATCTGACAGATTCTAGTCAGACCTGAGTATAGGCTATGGGAAAAAATGGGGAGAGAAAATCAGCACAGGATGCCAGCAATGTGCTTTTTCTTTGTGTAAGGTAGCATGTGAAATATTTAACTTCTTATTGCACCACAAAGGGAAAGAAACTCAAACTGGGTTACTTCAATACTTTAAAAGATTTCATCCAAGACTGTGGGAATTTGTAGCTCAAAGCTAGGTGTGTGTTAGTAGTAGAAGGGGGAAACAAAGTTAATATTTACATTTAATTCCTCATTGAGTCAATCCTGATTTTACATTTCATTTCCCTTCTCATTCACAACTTTTTAATATAAAGCTCCTTGTCAGGGAGCAATGAAGGCTGACAGCTCCTAACATGACTGACAGGGCAGTGTCTCTGCCCTCTGCAGGTCTGTCCTATAGGCCATGAGCAAGGTGTGCAGGGCAGGCCTGCAGATGGCCACCACACTGAGGCACAAGTCCAGATCATCAGGCAAGTTTATAAGAATAAGTCAGGTCTAAGGTCAAGCCAGGACATCCACCCATGTGTCAGGCCCAGCAGAGCAGAGCTGGAGAACAGGATCCCATCTATGTCACAGGGGCATGGCCCCAGGCTGGGCTGAAATGGTGCTCCTGGGCCATGGAGAGGCCCCAGGGCAGCACAGGACTGTCTCCTCTGCTTACATAAAGCAACACTGTCAAGTGAGAGCCAAACAATGTACACAGAGACTTCCAACCTGGACACTGGGATGAAAATTCCAAACATCCCTATACTAAGGATTAGGGAAGTAGTTGTTCTTATTATTGCTATTAAAAATTCACAGCACAAACTATCACAGGTCAGAAGCAGCCAACAGATGCAGTTAAAGGGACAGTGCACAGTAATTTGTGCTGTATTTCTGGGAAGCAAAGCAGGCCACAGCGTCTTGAAAAAAACGCCACGCTCCTTCAAAACCACCCTGTTGGGGCCACTGAATGCCTTTGGTATAAGCACCTGTTGGTTAGATTAGAGGGAACTGGAAGCCTAGTCTTACATTCTCACACCTTACATCCTTCTTGCTCACCATACAACAAAGGATTCAAGAGGCCTGGGCTCCGTTCCCAAAGTGTTTTATGCATTTAACATCGGGTGAAGACAACCAACAGAAAAGGAGACAGAAGCTCCAGCATTTGTTCCCAGACATATTCCCCAGCTACTAAGTGACATTTTTCCAGCACTCTCAAGCTGTCTACAGATTAGTGTCCAGGGTCTCTTTCTCAGTCAAGCTATCATATTCTGCAGAAAAGTGATCAAAGCTAGTGGTACAGGATATTAATTAAAGAGCTGCATGTACTCATCACAGTATTAGTCACAGAATTTAGGTATTCCTTTTTCTGTATCTAAACCTCTTTTTCCAGTCCTTTCATAGACCTTGAACTTTTTATAAAGGAAATAAGGAAATAACAAAAAGTATTGAAAGGTGTTTCAAAATTGGTTTTAATTTTTAACTTTCCTATTACTTTTCTAAACTGTATGTTCAAAGTAGGGTAAAACGCAACTTGCAAGAGCTACTCTTTTCAGCTTGTTAATAGTGGTTAGTAATTACAGGTGCTCCACTCTCTTTGATTGTATGAATTCCCTTAAAAATCACTGTGGTTGGTTGCTGGGT